AATTTTCAAATAGTTGGCCAGTGAGTGGATTTCTTTGAAACAAAGCAAGATTAAATACCATAACAGAAGTCGTTGAGGAAAAAAAACAATGTCAACCCAATGATCAAACATTAATCCAAGCATCAAAATTGTAAGTGAACAATAAGATTCATAGTCAACTAAAACAATTCAAAATAGCAACCTTAGCTAACAACAACAAAAAAGTGGTGTGTGTGAAATAAGATGAAATTCATGAAATTGAAAGGGGGTATGGAGGTACCTGGGCAACGGCAGAGGAGACATGCCAGAAAGAGGGAGACATTGTAGAGGAGTTAGAGAGAAGCAGAGAAGAGGGAGGTTTACCTGCGACGGCTGTGGTGGTGGATCTGACAGTGATTCACGGTGAGAGAGAAGGTGGAATATGATAATGGGGCGGGGCATCTGTGCCTTTGGCAGGTGCCCGTTGCCGAAATGGGGAAGAAACTCGTCGATAAATGTTGTGGAGAGAGAGAGAGAAGGGAGAAGAAAAAAGAGAAAAGAGGGAAGACAGATAGAGAAGGGGTTTTCAAAATGTCGGTTGAGTGAGAGAGAGAGAGGGAGAGAGGGGGGGAGTAGAGTAAGAGATAAAAAAGGGAGGTTCCCGATAAGGGGATTTGGGCGGAAAATGGGCGGTTTTTTTTTTAATTTTTTTTTATTTTTTAATTTTAAAAATGAGATAATTGTGGGTGTCTTGTTTGTTTGTTCAAAATTCATAAATGGGGTTATAAACCGAGACAAGATTAACCTTGTTGAAATATTTTTTTTACTTGAATATATTATAAAAATGTTAATTCAATATTACTATATTCCAACTAAAATAACATGTAATTTAAGGTTTTGCAACAAAAAAATTGTAAGTGGCATTAAGTTAATCAGAAGAAGTGCATAAAAATTCATAAAAAGTATAAGTGCCATTAACTTAATTAGAAGAAGTGAATAAAAATTCATACAAAAATATTGAACCATAAAAAAATAACAAAAAAATTGTTGTTTAGGGTCAGTTTTTTTAGCAGGATAATGATAGCACATGCAAGAAAGAGAAAATTTTAATAATTTGCATGGGTTTGGTACGCATGAAATAGAAAATGATGGAACAAATAAATTATATTCCATAATTACATTTTCTCACAACTAACCAACTTTTTTTTATGAAAATCCATGCTACCATGAATGTAATTTATTACACAGCAGTAACACCTACCCACCAAATTTCAGCCTTAATTGAATGGGGTTCACCTACTTCTAAACCCCATTTGTGCAACAAATACACACACACTTTGTCGTGGATCACTATAATCTGCATGCTTCAATATCTACAGCTTCATCAAAGGAGAGGAAATTCCACAGGTATGTCATACATGATTCCAACTATTTTGAATGCCTTAAATTTTGAATACATTAGCAAAAATGATTGATTAACATGTAATTACAGTAAGAATGTTTTTCTCATTATTGTAACCCAAAATTTTCAATGTTTTGAAAATAATAATAATATAAAAAAAACAGTTTGTACTTTAGGTTTCAAGCATAAAATGGCTCATAGTAATTTTGAGAAGGGAAAACATGTCATTATAGACTTGAATGAAAACAGTACACCAGTGTTGTCCACTACAATACGCTGCTTAGAGCAGCACGCTGCGTCACTGTATACCAGGTCAATTTTTTTACAAGTGCGTGACCATATCAAGGCTGAAGGACTCTTCTTCGTGGTCCAAAAAATTCAGCACCTTAGTCATTCAAGTTATTATCTGTCTAAGTACACTAAACCAACATCTAGTTGGGATGTGATATATGATTATCAGAATCACACCATCAAATGCAACTGCCTGAAATTACAATTTGTTGGACTTCCTTGCTCACACATCATTACAGTTTTGAAAACTGAATACAAAACAGAGTTCCCTCCTTCCACTATTCTAAAGCGATGGACAATTACTGCAAAATCAGCTTGCCCACCGACCTCTGTGCCTCAAACGTCAAGAACCATATCAATTTCTTGCCGATATGCTGGATTAATGTCAATGTGCAGACGAATGTATTACTACGGTACACAATTGCTTGAGGGCGCACAAGATCTTCGAACAATAATAACTGTAGTAACCAACCGCATGAAACAACGTCATGATACACGCGAGGCAAGACAAGTGTCAGCATCACAGGACAAAGATAATGACAGTGTGTCGAACAGAAAATTTGGTGTTGTCGATCCCAAGACAATGTCAACCAAAGGTAATTTGGGCCGTGTACGGAAGAACCTACCACTAGCTCCGCGACGATGTAGTAAATGTCGTGGCACTGGACATACTATTTGTAAGTGTCTCTAGGTTACGTGCAATGCAGATAACCCACATAATGACATGCCCTTCTCACAACCTGATGGCTCCCAACATCCCATGCCGTCAACTCAAGAAGACGACCATTGGAATCCAACTTAAAATTACAATGTCCTCTGATATCAGGTTTCATACATTAGCACCTTTTAAATACTTTGGGAAGTTCAGTAAATACCAACTTGGTTTTGATATCCATTTTTTATTTTTTATTTTAATAGCAACTGATATACTAGAGAGGGTACAGTGTGATTTGGATGAATCATTGAGGCATGAAGAGAAATACTGGAGGCAGAAAGCCAATTTGCGATGGGCTGTTGAGGGAGATAGAAAGGTTGTTGAGTGGCACTGGATGATGAGAATGGAAATGAATTATTGACTGCTTTGCAAATTGAACTTTCTCGTAAGGTGAAATTTAAATGTACATAGGTACAGTGGAGGAGCCCAGGTGTTGGATCATTGAAGCTTAATACAGACGGGGCTTCCAACAAAAACCCAGGGATTGCAGGGGGAGGAGCTGTGGTGCGTAATGAATGGGGTGGCATTGTTGTGGCTGCCTCCATTTTTTATTTGGAGTGCTCTAACATGATTGCGGAATTTACAACATAGTGCAATGGATTGAAGCTTGTTTTGGCATATGGTTTGACCTATTGCAAGTTTGAAATTGAATGTGATTCATTGATTTTGGTGAATGTTATTCTGGGTACTTGTGACTGTCCTTGGACATGTTTGAGCTATTGGAGACAAATCAGTGGCTTCTTGAGGGGTCTGGATTACAGCTTGGTGCATATTTTTTGTGAGGCAAATGTTGTGGCTAATAGTCTTGCTGTGTAGGCGGTAAAGAGTAGGAATGTCGTTGATTTTTCGATGGGTTTGAGATTGCCTTCTGCTGTTAGCTTGGCTCTATCATTTGATCGACAGAGTCTCTATGTTTTGCGAAAAAGAAAGAGGGTGACCTTCGATGGTAAAAGGTAATAGGAGCTGCTACTGGAGCTTTTTGTCAAGTAAGATTAAGTGTTGATTTGTTTGAAACAAGGGGAAATGATTAAAAGCTCTTTATTGTTGATATGTTCTTTTGGATTTGGACTGTGCTGGGGATTTTTTGCTGAAACTATAGAGTTTGATGTTGTGTATTTTTGGCTTTGCATTGTTAGTTTTGGCTTTTCGTGGTTATGGATTGTGTCTGTGACTTTTCCTTTGTTTCTTGTAAATATTTTGTGTTATCAATAAATCAAAATTCCCTTTTGATTTAAAAAAAAAATAAAAAAAGAAAGATTCCTACTTTTGATTCAATTGTGCACGGGCAATAGATTAATACTTCTTTAAATATTTTGGAGGTGAGTACAACTACATGTGCTTTGTCATTCCCTTCAGTTATTTGGTACAAACTATTCCACAATTTCATTAGCATACTGCACTGACTACTTCTTGCAATATTAACGTGTACACATCTGGCCAATGAAATATTCTGGTATAATCACCCTTTTGTTCTACAGCAGCTGACCACACAAAGCAACTTTCTTAAGTTGCATGGAAGGTTAAACCTTTTTTTTTCTTTTTTTTTGGAAAAAAGGGGAAATTTTATTGATAGAAGAAATAATTACAAGAAGCAAAGAACAAACAGTTCTACAAAATTCAAAAATGGTTTTAATCCTTCAAGATGATTAAAACCATTTTAAGCTACAAAATTGTGGCTTCTGATCTTCAATGTTCGCCTGAACTCCCAAACAGCTTCTGATGCAGAATCCCCAGATCAGAAACAAACCAGTACAGCACCCATGTAGTCCCAGCTAGTTTGCTATGTACCCAAACTTAGCCCTTACACCTTTGCTCACATCCTAGGTCACAACATCAGTCTTCCAGAATAGCAGATAGCTACTAAAACAAAGCAAAACAACAAACCAGTCCAGCATCCAAGCATAAAGACCACAATCACCCTCCACATCAGCATCCCAACAGCTATCTTCAAAGTTAATCCACCAGAAAAGACAAAATCCATCAGAAACAGACCGATGCAATCCAGTTCAGATAACAAAACCAAGACTCAACTCTATATACCAACTTCCCACACATAAAACTTGCCCAGACAGTCTGCCAAAACATAGATCATCACAAAAGTTGGCTTTAATCCTTCAAAAGGATCAAACCAACTTATCCTCCTACCACAAACAATACCCCATGTTCAGCACAGTATCAACCCATACACATACTAGACCAATCAGATCAACTGCCTAGTTTTTCATCAAGCATTCTAACCTCTCCTCCATCATCCACGATCTCTTTCCTGTATACATGACAATGACAAAATAAAGGAAGCATGCCTAAACAGGTAATTATGTTGTTATAATTAATCCCACCAAGGATACAGATGTACAATTTATCTGCATCCTTTGCATTACTTCATTGTTAAATCAAATAAACATGAAAGAACGCACAAACCTCACATTCACTGCAACAAAACTCAAAAACCATAAAACATCAATTTGTTTCTAACTACTACCCAATATATTTAATAACCATCCACCCAACATCTACAACACCCTTTGCCAAAATGACAAATGTAACTATACAACAAAAGATTCACCAAAAAAAAAAAACAAAAACCAATGTGTTATTTGTTGATGTACTCTTTAAAGTCCTTATAAAATTAATCTAATTTTGACTCTGGACGCTGTAACGACCCCTTCGTTTCATCCTCGAACTTTTCAAATCGGCCTTCAACTTTTCAACCATTTGCTGAAGTGTTTGTCCACCCTCACTAGTACCAGCATCAGAACCACCTTGACTAGGCCCAGCTTGACTACCCACAACTTGAGACACCGCTGATGGCCGCTTCACACAGTTGGCCCGTTTCAGACCCAGAATAGCTCCCACACTTTTATTAAGTGTACCATATCCATTGTATTCATGGGGACCATAAAAATGTCATTATGCTGAAATTCAACCCCACTATGCTTCAAAATCTTGGAAATTAATATTGGAAATGGAAGACATGGCCTGCAATCCTCGACAATAGATGTTTCGCAAATATGGTTGAATATGTAAAGGGTAGATCAATAATAACTCCATGTTGACCAATAGCATATAATAGTTAGGTCGTATCGTATCCAATCTCAGTAGTATGCCCCCTAAGATGTATATTACATGCAACTATTCGGTTTATAATCCTATACGTTGGAGTAAGGTCAATGTGAGCAATTTTCCTTCTTCATTCTCCCACGTGACACTCCCAATACAAATACCTTGAATAACTCTCGCCATTTTGGGAACATGCTCCTTACTTGAATATGGAAAGACAATGGCATTCTCAGGAATGTATGATCTATCAATTTTTAATATATTTGAAATAAGATCAGGCGAAACAGTGATGGATGTCTTCCTAACCAATGATTTAAATGTCAGCTCATTCTCTTTGTATTCTTGAACATTTGCATAAAAAATTTCACCAGATCAACATACGATTTATCTTCCACACTCACCTCAAACAGAGGTTCCCATTTCCGACTTCGAAGTATTTCAGGGCAATCCACACTACCTACAAACTCATCAAGGTAAACACCTCGCTCAATTAACAGAGGACATTTAACAATGAATAAAGCATACCTCTTCTTAGCATCTTTATCCACAAATAGTTTTGCAGTGCCAGAACTTCCCCCGCTATCCACCTTCTTTCGTTTCTTTGTCTCTACGCCCGACATCACCAAAGCTCCAAATGGAAATTTTACTCCTCTTCAACAAAGATGAACAACGAACATTCATGATGGAGATTTCCCTCTTCTCCAAATGAACATTCACAATGGAAGTTTCACGATGGAAGTAGTTTCTATATGCGATTGCAGTTGTGTACCTGATCGATCGACGAAAGAGATTTGGGGTTGGTTGGCGATTTAGGGTTTATGTAATTGAGAGATTTTGTATGGGTTTTGTAGGATTTTCAATGGATTTTTAATGGGTTTTGTAGGATATGGAATGGATTTTGAATGGGTTTTGTCAGATTTGAAATAGAATTTGAATGGGTTTTGTAGGTGCGAGCGAATAAGGGGGAATTTTGGAGGATTTGGGGATTTATTTAATATCATCCGATGTTTATTTACTACAAAGCCCCCCTTACAACACGTCAATTTAATACTCTTTGAGGGCATTTAAGTAAATTCATCAACTTATTGATCGATCACAATAAACATTTGATCGATCAAATTATCTTACTACTTACTGATCTATCATATTGTTTACACGATCGATCAAATCTCCCCAGTATCCTTTTTTACTTTTGTTTGACAGCAAAAATCTGCAACAATTTGATCGATCACATATGGTTTCAATCGATCCAATCTCCCCAGTACTTTTACTTCTGATTTCGATTAAAATTCTACAAAAATTTGATCGATCAGATATTGTTTCGATTGATCTACTATCCCCAGTACTTTTACTTCTGAGTTAGATTAAAAATCTGCAACAAATTGATCGAACAAATATTGTTTCGATTGATCAAATATCCCCAGTACTTTTACTTCAAATTCACATTAAAACTCTGCAACAATTTGATCGATCAAATATATTTGTGATCGAACTAATATCCTTAGTACTTTTATTAAGTCTGATTCACTTGGCAATTTTGCAACAAAATGATCGATTACTATGTATACTCTGATCGATCAAATACACTTATTACTTACTGATCTATCATATATTTTCACGATCGATCAGTCACACACAATACTTTTATTACTTCTGGTTAAAAATATATCTTTAATTTTATACCTATCCCAATTACCTTCGTACATTTCTTACTCATATAGTAAATACTCCATTAAATTTGTAGTTTGTTCCACTGAATTTCAATATTTCTCACTCTTGTTGTAATTATACGATTAATTTTATACTTTTACCTACTAATATCGTTAATATCGCAGTGATTTTGCAAATACACCTTATTGACGCACTATGATCGATCATATTATATATTTATTTATTTATTTCCAAAATTTCATTTTCTTACGCAACATCTGTCCACATAATGATCGATCAAACATTTACTTGGTCGATCAATATTTTATGATTGATTATATTATTATTTGATCGATCATCCATTACATTACATTGCCTATGAATCGTAAATTGTTCCACTTTTGTTCTAAAATACACCTTTACTTTGTACCTATCTCATTATTTTTTTACATTTCGTACTGATGTCGTAAATACACCATTACCGTTGTACTTGGTTCCACCGACTTTATAGGAATACCATTATCTTTGTTATTGTACTCATTCTTATTGTAAATCTTGCAAGTAATATTGTAAATATTCTATAAACTGTGTAACTCAGTAGCATCAGAAATTTAATTTCATTATATGTTTCTACAATCAAGACTACATATGCATTCTGTTCTTTAGGAAGAGGGTGTTCATTGCTGTCTCTCAGAGAGAGGGAAGGGGTTTGGCCTGTGTGTTGGTTGGGTCAGTACTGTGGATCCTGCTCTCACTGTGGCATTTTTCTGTGACTTTTATTGGTTCTGCTGGGTTTGCTCTGGTGGTCCTTCTAGCCTAAGCCGATGTATCACAATTAATAACTCCATTGAAAGTACTAGAGTTATCTTCCCTGGCCTTCCTTCCTCCGATATCTTGGTGGATTTCGAGTTACGTTGTTCACTCTTGCTCATATTTACCTGATCCCTCTTACGTTTCATTTTGGCGATATTTGCCTTTCCCTACTGGTTTCTGCCATGCGAGAATGCTGCTTTTAAAGAAGGAGGATGGTGCTTCTTCTGCTGGTTCTTTGTATCTGGCGTGCTGCATGAGGGGATGTTTTTATTGTGTTTATGAGCGTGGTGTTTTGTTTCCCGAAGCACTTTCCAATGGCCAGGCTGCTCTCTGCTGCTGCAATCTCTCACCTGGGGATCTTCCTTGCGATTTTCTTAGTTGGGAATCTCTATGTTGCGGTGATGATGGCAAGTGTATTATTCTCGTAAATCTATCCACGGTGCTGTAAATATATCTTTTATTTTGTAAATATCTCAATTATTTTTCTACATTTTTTACTGATATAGTAAATAATCCATTGTCTTTGTAATTTGTTCCACTAATTTTAAAAATTTCTCACTTTTGGTGTAATTGTCCCATTAATTTTATATTTTTACCTAGTAATATTGTTAACATCGCAATAATTTTACAAAAACACTTTATTGAGGCACTATGATCAATCATCATATTCGTGATCAGTCAAATTATATATTTATTTATTTATTTTCAAAATTTTATTTTTTTACACAACACCTTTTCACATAATGATCGATCATACATTTATGCGATCGATCAATATTTTATGATCGATTATCTATTACATTTACTATAAGTTGTAAATTTTTTCACTGTTGTTATAAATATACCTTTAACTTTGTACATATCCCATTATTTTTTTACATTTTTTACTGATGTCGTAAATATATCAATACCCTTATACTTGGTTTCACTGACTTTGTAGGAATCTTATTATCTTTGTTATTGTATCCATTATTATAGTAAATCTTGCAAGTAATAATATAAATATTCTATAAATTTTGTAATTCACTCATTATTCTTCATCCATTATTGTTGTACAGTATCCATTGTTGTTGTACAGTATGACAACAGGTCATTCCGGTTGGCTCGTTTTATCTTTACACGCGTTTTATTTGTACAACATTCTGCAGTGATTTTTTCAACTTTTAGTCACCAAATTTTTCGGTATCATACCGAAATCCACTTGTATTCCATGGCTTAAATTGACACGACAGCATGAGGACCCGCGTGAAAGTCAAAATTTGGCCAAAGTCAAAGCCGACATCTCTGCCCAAGGGCATCGCAATTAAAACTGAATCCAAAAACTGGGGTCATTTCAGTCGTGCGGCACCCCTGTTTATCTGCGAAAATGGAGTCAAATTTTATGAGTTTTAATGAATTTTATAAATTTATTATTTTAGATAAATTTTAATAAATTTAATTTGTTTAAAAAATAAATTAAGTCTGAGTAACTTAATTATTTTATATATAAATAAATTAAATTTTACGAACTTAAGTCCAATTGTTTAGATTTTTTTTAAACAAGTTTAAAAAATTATTTAAACCCGTCTTGTTTAATACACGAGTCGACCTCAAGTCTAGTCATGCCCAAGTCGAATTTAAGTTAGTCGGTTTAATTATCAACCCTACGTTTAACGATAAATTCAATTTTGTCTGATTTGTGGGCTATAGCCATTCATTAAATCACCACGTTAGTCACCTTTTAAGTTTTAAGATTTTAAAGAAGAATCACCTCCATGAAAAAAAAAATGTTCTTCTAGATCTGATGGAGATCCCATTCCTAAAGTATTGAATGGGCATCATCATTGTTATCGAGGAGTGGCAAGCACTTACTAAGGTGAGTGAGCTAAGATGTTAAATCCAATTCAAAAAAATTCAATATTTTTGTTGAGTATTTTATTACTTGGGTTAAACTTGAGCAAAAAAACTTTCAATCCGAATTAATTTCTGTTAATACTCCGATTAGAGCTTCAGGCTGAGAGGTTGAACCCAAGCCCTTACATTTTCAAGCATATTACATATGTAAAATTTGTTCTTTTTGTTCTTTAATTTAATTTTGATTAATAAAAAAAATTATAGAATTTAGGTTAAATTTTGAGACTAAACACAAAACTAAACTCTATTTTAAATTTAATTATCGAAAAACTTGATTTTAACAAGAATTTCAACCGAAAATATGCAAACTTCATATCAACTCGAGTTCACATCTTGGCTTGATCTTGCGTTGACTTCTTAACGTGCCCAACAGTCCGAGTTGTACCCCTAGCGATGAAAAATTTTGACATGATATAAACTCAATATAAATTCATCCGCTATGATTGATTATCATGCAAAAAAAACAAGTTAATATGAAAGAGAAAAAAGACTCATTAATATGAAAAACAAATAGGTAAAATTAGTGTGAAATAGAAATAACACATTTTTTAGGTGACAAACATATTTAAATTACACTTTAGCTTAAGTATTTTATAAGATGATTATAGAATTGTATATAAAGATTAAGTGGAATTTTAGTTTATAAAATTTTTGACCAACATATTTAAATTCCACTTTAGCTTAAATATTTTAAGTTCCATTTCAATAAGAAGGATTATTTTGGTTTTGGGACCCATTCTCTATCAAATATTACAAACCAATGATAATCTAAAAGCATTCAACAAAACCATTGTCAATTAACAAGTTTTTTTTTTTTTTTTTGTTTTAATAAGGAAATCATAAAATAATAAAAGATTTTACGAAATTTGGAAAAGATTGGGGTTCTCATACGCATGAATCTTTAAATACTACAACTTTTTAACTAACAATCAAGTATGTGGCTTTATAGCTGATTTGGGACATTAGATCCAATTGGAAGAATTAGATCAAATCTAGACCGTTGAGTTAAAATTAGAATGAATCTGAGTCGCCCTTGTGTTTTCTCAAATAAATTTAAATTAAATTAAATTTTGAAGTGAAAAAAGATTTAAATTGAATTATATCTTATTATTATAGAATAGAACACCAATAGATTAAAATCAATTCCATTATTTGTGCTAATCACTTATCACATAGGAATTTACATGTAAATATTTTTTATTTTATTAAGTTTTTAAATTATTAATTGCAAATTATTTTAATTAAAACGAAGACATTTAGTGGG